GGAGATCAACTAGCACCATACGTTGGAGGCCGGGGCCTTTGACGTTAAGTGAAATGACCTCAGTACTTATTGTCTTGCCATTGGCGACTAATGCTTGCATTCGTAACTAAAAGGATTCCATCAATATATATGAGCGTATACAAGGGAGAAATTTAGCGGAAATAATTTTATATGAATATCAATAAAGAGATAACCAATACTAAAAAAAGTAAGGCCGTGCTAAAATTATAAATTTCGTTAAACAACTTGGTGGTTCGGTTCCCTACAAAAGCTTGCCAAATTGGCGTGAGGTTTACTTCAGGATAGATGTAGAAGCAAAAAAATGGGACAGAAAGCATGGTGGCTTGCAGTCCGGAACAACGCACATGGTCAAGCTAGCACTAAACAGATCTTAAAGTGACTACTGACTGGACAGGGGTCCATAAATGGTAGCTAAATGATTTCGGTTGCAGGGCTGAAAGTTAATGCAATTCAGTGATAGCAGTGACACAAAGACCTCGAAACAATGTAACAACGCAGGAGTGAAGGCACGACTTGTTTATGGGCCTTATTGATATGGCCTTAATTGCTTTTTCGGCCTAAGTAGGAATATGCAAAAATTTGACAATTACAAATTATATCTGTTTTCAACGTTTAAAAGACACTTAAGGCTTTCCAACTTCATGTACCTCTATCTCGTTCCGTAGGCTGGCCAGTTCGTGCTCATTGGTGAGATCATACTCTTTGGTTGAGTCACTAAAGGAAGCGACGTGATACGGACCCTCTGACAAAGTGACTTTAACTGGCGATCGTGTCATCATCTCGCCGGATCCCCGAGGAAATATGCGCGCCTGGGCAATCATCTCGAGCACCGAGGTTTTGCCAGAGCTTTGGTCACCGACGACAACGACTCTCGGAAGGTGGTCCTAAAATTAGAAACCATTAAAGGTAAGCGAGTGACAGAGAGAGAGAGAGAAGACGCATGCATAACGGTATATAGAGAACAGACCTGAGCGTTGTACTCGGTATCCAGGCTAGACAGTTCGTCCAAGACTTCTGAATACATTTCAATTAACGTTTTCTGTGCAGAGAGCCATGGTAAAGTTTGAAGAATTTACCTTAATGCGATCGGGTTGCGACGTTTTTTGGTACCTGAGAAGTAGTTGCGTACGTAAAGATTTTATTTCGGATTGGAGTTCGCGGACGGACTTCTGGTACTGAAGCTACAGGAGCAGTTAATATTGGAACTAAGAGCCATACCTTTGTCTTAATCAGCTCTTTCCTAAGTTCTTCCATTACCTTTTCAGACTCCTTTCTTGCCTGAAAATAAGAACAATGGAGAGATTTTATTACTTTCTCAATATCTTCCTGGGACGGCGAGGTAGCTCCCTGGTTGACATCCGTTGGGGGA